GGGGGGTGGGGGTAAGCTGGCTCATTCTTTACTGGGGGAGTGGAATTTACAGAGAATTATGTTCTATGCTTTCATTATATAATAATGAATATGACCAGTGGCGAAGAGTTTTTACAAAATCAGAAGTTGCTGAATGGATGACTGTTGCATAAAAGATCTGAATACAGCTGAATCTCCAAGAAATCTGAGAATTGTTTTCTAGAATATAGAATTCCAAAATGATCATTACAGTCACCCAACAGAGTCTGCATAAAGTTATCTTACGGAATTAATTTATATTTGTCATGTTTCTCATTGCATTGAAAAATCATTTTATTTTCCTGAATAACCCAAAATTCTAAATACTAGTCCTTCAAAATAAACATATGATTTTAGAATGCAGCTGAGATTATTGTAATGTCTTAATTGCTGTAATGCAGTGTGAAGGGATCTGGCTGCTTCTCCACTGTGAATGCTGTGTACCCTCTGCCCCCCACAGCAAATCAGTTCAGGGAGTTAAGCCAAAAGAAGATTGACTTTATGTTAAACTAGCAGGAAAATACGTTGTTCAGTAGATACAAGTAGGGGGAGGGTTCTCTCTTCTGCTGATAGGTAGCTGCTGGATGGATTCAGCTGGTTTAGTTTAGTTCCACAAACCACCTCACTGTATGTTTGGAAAATTGCAAATACTGTTACCTGTTACTTCATATAGCTGTGATTGTGCAAGAAATTATTTCCTTTTAAATCTGTATAATATTAACAGGATAAAAGTATGTTTAATTTTGGCTTTGTGCAGCTTTTGCATGTGAACGAGTGAGAATGACTTTCTCACGGTGACATGAAGCCATCAGATAAGCAAAGGTAGTAGCAGAACAGAGTGCCATGGGAAGTATCTCCCAACAAGATGCATTTACATGTACGTGCATATAAAATAGATACACCTGCTGAGCCAGAGTATGAAAATATAATTGTTTAGTAAAACAGAATAGATAGGTGCCTTAATGATTGCTGTAAAAAAGACATTAATTCATAGCTCAGAGAGAGAAAGGAGTGAGAACAGCATTGGATGGAGGGGAGAGGCGTAGAAAGGAGGAATGTGTGTCTTTCAAAGGAAGAGGTAATTTCCTTTCAAAGTAGTCAGTCGTGGGGAAAACATTTCTTATGTGTTTAAAGGATGTGCAAAAGAAACATTCTGAAGAGAAATACAACATCTTCATGGAAGTCTGCAAGAATTTTCAGCCTGTGTTTCGTTATTTCTGCATGGAAAAATTCCTCGATCCAGCTGTGTGGTTTGAAAAACGGTTGGCGTACACTCGCAGTGTGGCTACATCTTCTATAGGTATTATATCGGATTATTGACATTGGCTTTTTAGATTATGTAAATAAAGAGTTTATACCATTTCAGAGGTAATGGCTGTTCTGCTTCTGTCACGTGTCAGAAAAGGGGCAGTAGGGGACCAAAAATACCAACAAGAACACCAGCATTAGTTGTGTAATGAAGGTTTCTGAATAGTTTTCCTCTCCCCCCGCTCCTGTCTGCAGCAGAAAGAACAAAATCCTGTTTCTTTCTTTTATAGAGTGGTTTGTGGGTTTAGGCTCTGGTAGTTTTTTTAAAGTTTCTAGCTTACCAATTCTGTCGTTTTGATTTAACATTTATTCATTTCATCTGTAGACTCAAATGTTTTAACTGAGCTGAAAAGCTTATTTACCTTCTTTGTACTGGCATCATTAGCCATGGCTGAAATGTTTTTTTAGCTTTGGCATTTCTTTGGTTTTTCTGTCTTAATAAGGAAATACATGTGCTTGGATTGTAGATTTCCTTTGGATGACTCAGTTTTGTATTGAGTCTCTGGAAGACATTTGATAGTAGATTGTATACATCGCAGTAGAGCCAATTTTAGATGTTAATTTGTTGCTCATATGCCCCTTTTTTTCGGGGGGAGGGGGTGTGGGGGGTGTGGAAGTAAATTTACAGTTTAGCAGAACTCAGATGAAAGATTTTTGTAGGAAATACTACTGCTATCCATGTCCATCAGCTAATAGAAAAACAGTAACAGGCGTAAATTGCAGCAAGGGAGATTTAATTTGGAGGGTTTCTACATTTAAGGACAGTAAAGCACTGAAATAGGCTTACAGGAAAGCTCTTATAATTTGTATCACTGGAGATTTTTAAAACTGACTTCAACAAGAATCACTCAGGAACTCTTTAGGTATAGTTGAGCTTCCCCAACTGAATTATGGACTGAATTATGTCCAGTCCTACTTTCTGGATTATATGATATTGTGAGTTAAAAGGTTTTCTTAAAAACAGTAATAATAACAAACCCTAGTTTTTTGTGCACTTGCTTTTTATCTTTTTTTTTTTTTGAAAGCTGTGAAATTGTTTGGTTAATCAGTCTACAGAGAAAACCAGACAAGAAGTCTGTGGAGTAGATAAACCAATACATGTCTGTACGAGAACAACCTGTTTAGAATTGCATTAAGTTAACCTTGTCTTTTTGGATTTGTGGAATGGCATTTGCTCTTTACTGGAGTACTATGTATACATGGGGGAAGAAATATTCTCACTTTTCATTTGTCTGCACGTGTTACACTGATTCTAATAATCTCTCTGTTAAATTTCCCCCGTTTTTTATGACATGTAAATATGGTTTCAGCACTTATCTTTTTCTTTTAGTTGGCTACATACTGGGACTTGGAGACAGACACGTTCAGAATATCCTCATAGATGAACAGACTGCAGAACTAGTGCATATAGATCTGGGTAAGTGGGACAGACAAGAGAACCTTCATTTTTCTTCATTTGAATGCTTTTTAAAACATTTATTATCCTTTCATTTAGGGGTTGCTTTTGAGCAAGGTAAAATCCTTCCCACACCAGAGACTGTTCCATTTAGATTAACCAGGGACATTGTGGACGGAATGGGTATTACTGGCGTGGAAGGAGTCTTCAGAAGGTGAGTGCTCCTGCGTTGCACAGGGGTAAGGAGGCAGCAGAGTACTTTTGGCATTATGATTGTTATATGTTAAATAGTTCTGGTGCTTGAGAGGAGACTCAGATTTCTGCTGATAATATCTAAACATAAACGCTGCCCTCATACACTGTTATTTACATAACCAATTACAAGTTCATTATTGTTGCCCAGCTTTTAATATTCCTCACGAACTGATGGGTTAATGTCACACTCCTGTGGAATTCCAGGATGACTCAGTGCTTCTAGAGGCTCCACAGCTGAATTTCATCCCTTGATTTAGACTGCTGATTTTTTTTTCCTTTAGAACTATGTCTTTCTTTCAGAGCTATACTATATATTCGGAGCTATTAAGTTTCTTCAAACTATTTTGTTCAGTCTCTTATTTCTGTTCAGTTTGATGTAAGTAATGTGCGGTCTTCTTCCTCTTCTGTATCATATATTTGATACCACTTGGCAAGTGCAAACTATAAATCCCACAACAGATTTGAGCTGCAGAACAGAAGAATCCCAAAAGGGCCGAGCTTCTGTCAGCCTCATCCTATCTGCTGTGAATGACCCATGAGAGCCTTAAAAAGCAGGTGTTTCTCTCAGTCAAAACTTTCATGATGTTCATGAAGGTAGTGCTTGCAAACCCCAAATTTTACGTCTTTAAAAAAGTAGATAGCGTAAGTGTTGTCTTTGTAAGGTAGCAATTACCATTAAGAAGTAGTTCCTAATATGGCTTTGTTCTGTGAAGGAACACTCTGCCACTTCTGTTCTAAACATGATGCTGTCAAATTCAGTTTTGTGTTACTTCTGAAACTTTTGTCCCACGATACAGAAAAACATGAATTGTTTGATTCCAGCTGAAGCGAACACAGTGTAAAAGGCACCAGTGCAGATCCTGTTTCTGCCTCAGCCAGACTGACTTGTGATTAACAGTACAGGTGTAAGTGCATAAAGAAGTCATCTCATGATTGGGTGTGACACGGTTGGTTAACTTCTGTATCTAAAGTCATCAGAGAGATTTCAGAAACTGCTTCATGTCTGGCTGCTGGATCTGCTCATTTCATGTGGAGGAATCCTACCAGGATTCTCCGACGTGTTGCAGAGCACCTCTGGCACAGGCGTTTTCATCCATCTGAGCAATTTTGCCACCGTGGCGTACCTCAACGATCAGTGTTAACTCAGCAGTTCATTCCGCGCATAGAAACATTTCAGACAGTGGAAGAGGTGCTCTCTTTCCCGTCGAGAGTATAATTAGTGAACGACCCTGTCTCCTTCTGGTCTTACAGGTCTAAATTTCTCCATTTTCTTTTTTCCAAAATGGAAATATCAGAGAGGTCACTTATATGTTAAAAATTAATCTTTAAGAAGGCTACAAATATCCATTATTTAAATGATGAAAATACCATTCCATTTTACCAAAAAGAACCTAAAAATACAGTAAAATATCTTCTAGATGCTGTGAGAAAACAATGGCCGTTATGAGGAATTCTCAAGAAGCATTGCTGACTATTGTAGAGGTAAGCATTTTGTCATTCTGATAGGAACCTGCCAGAGTACCTTCGGTTTCTGGTCTTTGTCTTCATGAGCATTACTGTACCAAAATTCATGTAGGGGTTTTTTGTTCAATTTGAATGTAGTAGTGTTGGCCAGATCTGTTAATTCATATAATCTTCAATAAAATCAAGACCAATTTGCATTTTCTATGGGAACTATTTGTTTCAGGCATATGCAGTTTTCCCTCTTCAGTATCTAAACACTTCTAGCCATAGTGCAACATTCCTAGCATGAGTGGTGCTCTTTGCTAAGTCACAAAGACGAGAATTAAAGTAATTTTTAAAAGCAGCTTATGCTATGCATTAAAAACTAATGATGCTATTTAGTACCTAGAAGTGTATTAAAAAGTGACCTCTTCATTGCTGAGATGGGACTGGGTGGCAAAACTGAGTCAAGTATGAACAATGCAATTTAGCCCAATTTTATTTGATTTAAAAAAACCAACAACCTCCTAATACTGTGGTTAGCATGAGCATTACCAACTGAGCGTTTCTCCTCCTGCTAGGGCACTGAACTGGCTGTAATTAACAGTTGAAATTAAATAGACATTTATTTACTGTGTAGGTGCTGCTCTACGATCCTCTTTTCGACTGGACCATGAACCCCTTGAAAGCTTTGTATTTGCAGCAGAGACCGGAGGATGAGGCTGACATGAGCTCTACACTCAATGCTGATCCACAAGAATGTAAAAGAAAAGCCAGGTGCAAGATTTTTTTCTTACTGTCTGCTCGCTGCACTGTTGCCTCGCTTTACGATTTTCTTCCTGAACGTTGCTCATGTTGTTCAGGTCTCATATTTAGCACGCCTGTTTCTCTTTTTTTATTCTGCCAGCAGCGATGACCAGAGTTTTAACAAAGTGGCTGAGCGTGTTCTGATGAGACTTCAGGAGAAGCTGAAAGGGGTTGAGGAGGGAACAGTGCTCAGTGTGGGAGGGCAGGTGAACCTCCTCATACAGCAGGCCATGGACCCTAAAAATCTGAGCCGACTTTTTCCTGGATGGAAAGCCTGGGTGTGACCTGGAAGGATCCAGCACCTTTTTAGAAGAAACCTATTTTTATGGAGCAAGTGTCTCAACATTTCAAAATGGTATTTCACAGTTAAAACATGTATCAGGAGTAACCGTGAAGGCTTATATGTATTAGTATTCGGTGGATGTTTGGGGGTTTTTTTCAATAACCTGTTACCAAGAAAACATTGTTTGCCCACTTATGTTCACCACACAGTATAAAACACCAACCAGTGCTCTGCAAGCACTTTGCCTTGGGCATACAGGATGCATTCTGTTCTTAAAGCCTGAGATTTGTCGCGTTTGTGTATACATTCAATAGCTGGAGTCTTGTACATAATAATTCTGTATGGTAACATCACCGTGCAGAATGGATGATCTAGAAACCAGGAGTGATGAAGTAACTAGCTGAAGTGCATTTCAAAGGGGGGGTTATAGTTTAAAGATGATGCTACAGTGAATGTAAAAGAAAGCCAGAGAACCCCATGTTTAATGAATGGAGAGTTCTTGGGGTTGTGGTTTTTGTCGGGTTTTTTTTTAGCGTAGTTAAATGGACACTTCTTTATATAGATATGGACTTTGAGCCAAGTATAATACACCTGCTTTTTTTCCTGTTGTAAATGAAATTATGTTGGTACTTTATTTTTATAACATTAATAGTATAAACCAATCAAAAATATTTAGCTTTTATAGCTCAGACTTCCCTGATAAAATAGACTGACTATAGCATGAAGCTTAGCATACCAGATACACCTCTAAAGCAAACAGTCGTTCTGTACCTGTGCTAAACACCTGTCAGAAACATTGAAGTTGTATTTGGAGCACAAAAATCTCATTCTGATTGCACATAGTTTTACAGAAGACATTGCTCCTTCTTAAATAAAAAGACCTACTGTAATTGGATAGTCAATGATTACGGTTAATAGGAGAATCCACTCAAATTATATTTAATAAATCTTCCCGAATCATCTTAATATTTAAAAATATGAATAAAATTTGGTGTAGTCTCCCATGATCTTAGTTTACACTTTATGTATTTTTACAGCAGTATAAGTGAAGAATTTCTGTTCTAACTAGCATTTCACTGATTTTTATTTGTACAGTTTTCCCTCAATTTTTATGCTTTATCTTTGTTTTATAAGTTAATGTCAACATGGCAAGACGAGTCTTTTGTATTATGTTTTCATGAAGCTGACATAAATTTCTGTTGATCCTCGTAACCCAAAGTGCATCCTGTCTTTTCTGTGGGGAAGAACTCTCATCCAGGGACACAGGGATTTGTTCTCTGAAAAGGAAACTTAACTGACAGAGCACGCACTCGGTATGTGAATTTTAAATGACACTTAGGAGAGGGAGAAAAGCCCTACCAAGTATTTACAGGACAGCAGGTAGGAAAGGACTAAAGAAAAGCACTTAAAGAATTTTTATTTTTAAGCACAGACTTTAAAAAATCTGACAGTATTTATGGAAATTTTTCTCATGCTTCTTACAGAGGAAGTTCTTTATGCTTTTTTTGAGTTATTTAGTACTAGAACTGTAGCTATCATATAATTGCATAAAAGCACTTGGCAGATCCTGTCTTTCCTTCATGAGCTGCTGATGCTCCAGTTGGAATATTTTCATCATGTGGGGCTGCAATTTAGGTTTTTCACTTACAGCAAACAGTGAAACATTAATATGAATGTGATTGTCTCAGGAAAGCCTAACTTCAGAGGAAATAATTTAATTATTCCTCTGCAATGCCATTAACTTGGTGTTTAGTGCCTAGGTTTTGACTGTCTATACATTTTCACTATTCACACTGAATGAAACACAAATAAAAATGCACATAGATACTGTAAATACAATTGAAATCTGCTGACATGATTTGTAAGCTCCTATAGCAGTGAAAAAACAGCTAGCTGACAAAAAGAAAACAGTTTGAATTATTAACAAACCTTGGAGTCTCCAAAATGCTCTCAAAATCAGTGTGACACAATCCTGTTGTTAAGAGATCTGAGTTAACTAATCTAACATTCTTGAGATAATTGTCATCTGTGCAAAGCCTCTTACAGCCAAATAGTAACCAGCGGAGACTATGCTTGCTTTTTGTTCCAGTAATGCCTTCATTTTAAAAAGTCAGAATTAGAAAGTGGTTTGCAAAAATGTCTCATATATAAATACACACTTTCCTCATATAAGAATAGAAAAATAAAACCTGGACAGAAATGCTGGTTTTATTCCGAACAGTGGTTTTGTCACAAATGCCACTACTGATGGGAAGGTGGATTAGTATTTGAGAGCCTCAAATATATGTACTACATTAGAAAGCTAGAAATATGTGACATAAGTTGCCTCTTAAGCATTAATTTTTTTCTTAGAATGCATGTTAGTAATTTTAAATATTTACATTTAGAAAAGATAATTTCTAAGAAAAATGAGCCTGTGATCTAGTATGATGGGGACAAGTTTATAAACAGCAGCATATTTATTTGAAATCAGTTTTTTCTGATGAAATGTCTGTTGGAGAAACATCCTCAGGAGTACGAAGTGAAAAATAGTTAAGTGTTAGCAGGTGAAGCAATTGGAATTACATACCTTGACTGAACTTTTCCATGAGCTAGGAACTCTGTCCCTTGAATAGCAATCAGATTAAACTGGCCACCTGGTGAGGTACATCCAACTTTAATTAAACAAGGATGTCAGTCTTCATGAATGCAGATCTGAAAACTTCAGGTTTTCTTACAGATAAAACAACCCAAAAATCATGTACTCAGTAACTATGGATTAATTAGGTCACTATTCTCTGTTACTGTGAAACTCTTGAGTTTATAAAAAGTATTCACTACCACTAAATGTTTTTGCACTAAAATGTTAGGCTTCGTATTTTCACGAGATAATGCACATTGTTACTAGTTATACTCTTCATGAATATTGTTATCACGTACCTGCACAAGTGGTAATGCTTCAATGGCAAAAGGTCAATAAAGATACCTTTGTAAAAAGGCAATTCCAAAATCTGCCTGGGGAATGTGGTTGTGTGATTGCTAAGTGATGACACTGTATGTTTTTACTGCTTTCATCCCTGTGAATTTAAAGCTGAAGTAAGGCAGTAGTGTTGTCCCATGGAACCTGTAGATAGCCTCTAACAGCTCTCAGGGAGAGATTACTTAATACTAGCACTTAGTGATGACACTTGAACAATTTTATTGAATGCTCATATTTATTTCAGCAGGTAGGTTGAAGAGTGAAACCACAGCAAGAAAGCTGGGATGTGTGCAAGGGAGGGCTTAGGTTCTCTTCCCACCACATTTCACAGTCTTGCCTGTGTCCTGATTATATGAGAAGACTAACATGTTGTTCACAGAACACATGCTCTCACCATCTCTCCAGCTCTTAACACTGTAAGTACACCTATACTTCAGCTTTTGGAGCTGCATAGTGAATGTCAGTAGTATCTTTAAGGGCACAGGCAGCTTCTGCTCTCCCTGCTCCCTCATTCCTTCCTCACTACTGTACGTGTGTCCACAAAAAATGTGGTGCTAAGTGACTACGCCCTTGCCTGCCCTGGAGAGTTCTGTAGCTGTTCCTCCCTCTCTCCACACCCATCTATCAAGCAACACACAACATATCACAAATTTGAGCCTATTTGGTTGCCTCAGTTGCTGTATACTACCTATGCTGGATGCAAAGCAGAAAGGATTATAAGAAAATGCAGCTACCTGTAGATGATCTGAAGTCCTCCACTCTTAAAAATCCCTCGGCCATGCTGCACTGGGTCTTCCCTGTAGCTTCTAGGATGAAGCAGTGTTACAATGCGAGTGCTCAGTGGTGGGTGACTCTGCTTCTCAAAGAATGCCTGTTGACAAGCAGAATTTGACCGAGTACTATTTTTCTTCGCAGGCAAGGTTTTTTTCTGTGATTAAAATGGAGCTGAAATGGTGCTGGGCATACTCCTCATATGCTAACACATCAAGAATGGAAGAATGGGAGAAGGAAGGGGTGGGGGAAGAGGAAAGAGAGATTCTGCATGCTTTTCTAAGTACAGCAAAATAAAGTTTTCAAGTCTCCAGTCACAAGGCACATGCTGTTTGCCTGTGCCTCTGGGTTATAACGAGCATCCTTAATGCTGGTTAAGGCTAAGTCACCTTGCTCTTCCTAGAGTACTGGTCTACAAGTGCAGGCAAATCTTGCCATAGAGAACACACATTTGACTTGCAGGGAATTTTTCAGTATCTTGATCTGTTCACCCAAAGCCCCTGTTTTGTACCCACACACACCATATTTGCTTTCACAAAAGCAGAGAAATTGGAGCTTATGGATTGGCAATTTTGCGTTCTGGAAATTAAACAAGCTGGTGTAGCAGG